ATCACCGTGGACTCGCGACAATTCGGCGAGCGATATTATGTTTCACAGCGTTGTATTGCTTCGATGTTTTACGATTGCTTTCTCTTGTTCCCGTGAGTTCCAAAGACCGTGCGTCGAGAAACATTTATCAGAAGTAACGTTGTAACCTGACTACGAATTCGATTCTCCATTGATATTCAACGGAATGCTATGGAAAATTCTTTCACCCGAGTAGACATCGTCCGGTCGAATAAAAATGAATTCGGAGGGAACTCGAATCTACGGTAACATCTGTAATTACTTTTTCTAGTGGAAAAGAAAATAGAGGACTCGCGACGTGCAGACGAAAAACAATTTCACTTTTTACGGGAACATTTCTGTAAAACACGGCAACTTAGAGACGGTCTCTCTAATCAGTCTTTTCTTTTTCGTTCGTATTATGATTATCACAGAATTTCCGTCAAGGTGATGGGGGATCTTCCCACTTCGATTCCCTTGCCATCGAGGAATCAGGGGTTTTCACCATTTAGAAATCTGTTCAGAGAACAAAGAAAACTCGATAATATTTGTATCTTGCTTGGAATCGAATGAAACTGTAAATGAAATCAACCAAAGGTCGAATAGATTGCGGGTCGTTTCGAGGAAGATTCTCAACCGAAATATTCCGTTGTCTGTTCAAAGCGGGAAGGTCCCTTCAGTGATTCGTTTTCCGGCATTTCGAACGAGCGATTTATGGAAATTGACGCGATCCTACAGCTTCGGTCACGGAGACAAAGATCCTTGAATTCGTCAGTTTCTCGGTCGATTTCACATCCTTATTGTATCCACACACCCTTACAAGCTACGTCGAATATCCGTCCGCCGACAGGTTTCAAGTTCCTCCGTTTCAATTGTTTTTCCCGTTTCTCCCGATGAGAAAGACTAGAATTATTCAACGCTGAAGACTACGGACCGTCGTGGATTGATGGGGGCCTATGTAATATGTACACTTCTAATGAACACTTTGCCAACTACTCGATTTCTCCTATGTTCTCTGTAGCCCTTCAGCCGCGTCTACACGTCAGAATATTACAATAACTTGTTCGCGCGATCGCTGAATCAATCGATCAAATTAAACGCTCTTTGTTCCATTCCATTTGGAAAGAATCAAGTAACATAACCTTCCACTGGAATATGAACGTTTCGAGGAAAGAAATCTCGAGTGTCGTCTACAGGTTCTCAAGCTGTTCCGGCAAAGCTGTTGTTGTTGTTGTTGTTGTTTTTACATAAAAAGAATGCAAATGACCGTGTTTTCTGGGAATTCGTTCGCGTAGAAAAGTGAGCTATTGTCTCGAAGGGGGTGTTCGCTACAACCGAAGGTTCGACAAGCAGCTACCGATGTCTTCAGAGTTCGGGAAACGTTCGTTTCCTTCGGAAGGAGACTTCCGGATGCTCGGAACGAATTCATGTTTGCGCGGCGTATTAAACCTCAACTCAGTTTAGTCGCTTTCGAAATCAAACACTCCTTTGAATGATCGTTATCCGATATTGCGATCGCTGATTTAATATATATATATACATATACATATATAGTATATATGTATATATATATATACACACACAATATTCCGTTGACCGTGTGATCTCGCAGCTTGGTTAGATCCTGGATCGAATCCGTTGGCTCGCGTGTCTCAGTTTCCCGTCGTCGGATGAGATGTGGCAGTATATAAGGCATACGAGTTGTCCCTGTTCCTTTCGAAAGCCCGCGAGTGGCTCGCGTCCATCCTTGCAACGTTGCTCAACATGATCCTGAGAGGTTAGGTCTACACGCTACGCGACGAGAAACCAATTGATTCGAGCGGCATGCTACCCTTTCTCGATACGTCGCCACGGAGAAGACTGTCCGACTTCAAACACACAAGCAGAACTACTTACTTTACAGAGGATTACGAATGAATAATAACAATGGGAAACGCCTCACGTATTCTCTCTCTCTCTCTCTCTTTTTCTCTCCCGTCGTCCCTTCCCTAGTTTCTCCTTTCATACTCGCGAACGCGAAACGTTTAATGCGTACTGTCACTGCTACATTCAAACTTAACACCGCTGCGTGTGATATTAAAAACTCGTTAGACATCGACATGCACCTAACACTGAGAGGGATTGCTTATTTGTTTCCTTAGGCTAGTTATATTATATATATGTATATGTATGTATATACGTATATATATATATGTATGTATATATATATATATACGTCTATTATGTACAATCGCTTAAAGTATAGAATTATGTCGAGGACACTTGCAAGACTCGACGTTACTGGATCAGCCTCTCCATGAACCGCTTTTCTTGCTCCAGCTCCTCTTCTTCATGGGGGTCGAGGTCGCGTTTAAAAAACCGGTTCATGAGATTCGTACTGCTCAACGAATTATCTACACGTGAAATTATAAATACCGTAAGAAAGAACGGATCGATTTCGATCTTTTTGGATGAATAAATAACTATACATGTGTCGGCGGGAGCTATAATCCCCGCTGTCCTACCTTATCGAATCTCTCTCGCTCTCTCGCTTTCACATATACACGTCGGACACACGCGCATGCACGCACACATTCTCTCCCTTTCTCTCTTTCTTCCAACAACTTTCTTCATCCTTCTCTTCTGCTCTACAGCGACCACGATTGGATCCTGCCCAATCCAATAAATTTACATCGAATGACCAATTTTACTTTTAAGCGTTTCTTAATCTGTTAACCGGTTGATTGCATGATCGGCCGATCATAAATACCTAGGTATGCAGGCACTTTTAAAGACATATGAAATCAATCCGGCGGAGATATTACTCTTCGAGAAACACGAATACATTGTCGTCCATACCGGTTACAGATACTTGGATTCAATAAAATGCAGGTTGTCCGCGAAGGATTGACACGTTTTTCGTTTGATGTACACGTACCGAGGTTACGTATCATATTTACGTGGTTGTAATCGGTGCTACTCGAATGACAAACCCTAACCAACGCGAACGTGTATCAATCGTTTACAGACAGATCGTACTGGAATCCTAATCTAACCCTTTACGTCCTCAAGCTGATTTTCAAATATTATCTTCGTTAAAGTACCGATATAATCCATTTAAACAATTTTAAACGTTACGTTTAAAGTATCAGCGGAACAACTAATGTTCTACGAATGCAATTAAAAATAATAGGGACACGATTTAGGACATAAACGATTAAACAAGGAAAAGAATTTGCTGAAAGGCGTAACTAGTTTCTTCCGGTTAACAGGTTAATCACTTTGTTTCCTTCCGTTACTGTCTTCCGGTAGGGTAACCTGTTGTCTTCTTTGTCGTAGCTTCAAGACGTGCCTCGAACATCCTTTTAACGTAACGTCGACCATGTCTGCGCGCACGATCCCCCAGAACTGTTTAACTTCGCACGCTGCGTCCGCGCCAGAGATGGACAGATCTTTCTTTAAATACAACATTATCGATCGCGACGCATCGGTATTTAGAAACTCTGAGCGGAGCAAAAACTGGTTATTCATATTTCCTTTATTATTCCTTATAATATATTCCGAATTTGCCCATCTCTGGCCCGTGCACATCAGCTGTAATAATGTGTCGAACACGTAAGACGTACTACTCGTAACTTTAAGAGAAATTGTGCTTCCAGCTGGGAAATTTACTACGTTAATGTACCTCTGTTACGAGAGATGGAGTAAAGTCTAGAGTAATCTCGATTATTTCTTTCGTAAACCTTTTCCTTAATCGGAAGTGCATCGGTACTATTTTATCGTAAAGATATACAAAGAAATTTCTACTATCTTCTGCGAAGTTGAATAATATACGTACACATGTTCTTTTCGGTATGCATTCGAGTCTTAGGGACACAATAAAATTTCATTTCACGTGCACAGAGTATTTTATAGCGTGTGGAAAGCTGTCGATTTAGCACGCGATCCACTAACGAAGATGACTCGTGATTCGTAAGAGCTTAAAAGTCAGATGTCTCGTCCACAAGTTATAAAACATGCCGTACAAACTACGGAAAACGTTAAATCATCTTCCGTTCCACACGACTGGTACATTCCTGAAGCGTTCAGTACGTTATTACAAACGGTGTGCACTGCGCGTGGAAATTGTTTGAGGGGATCATGAAACGTACTAGAAGGGAACCGAATGTACAGCGAGAGATCCCATTCGTTAGGTACCATCGGAAGGATATATTATACCTCCGTGGTGCGACTGTAGGGCCCGGATTCCTCCGATTGCGATAGCTTTCGTTCCCGTTTGGCGAACAGACCCCCTAAAAAAGATGGCTGCTGAGCCAGTCCCTTAGCACCACCAGGGATAGTAGACCCTGGATGAATAGGATGAACTTGTCCAGGATGCTTAATGCCTTGGCTCATTGAGCTGGCAGATGTAGATTGAAAAGAAATCGACATACCACTATCTAACGAGCCCACGCTTCCACGGCGTTGCGGTTTTTCACCAGCGACTGTGAACAGACGAAAAAAACGTTGCTTTATCGTGTCCAATCAAGATAACACGGTGCTTATCCATACTTGAATTTCAAAAACAACAAGCGAGTCTGTTCTCTAATGACCGCAAAGAACGTTTACGTTAGAAATAGAAATAATTTTCACAATAACACCGCCGAGTCTTTTCGGTTACGCAACCTTGTGTCAGGTGTAGCAACGCGCTTATCGAGCAAACTGAACTGACTCATAGGATATTGTAATACGGTGACAAAGAAATACGTCTACGCACATTGTTCGTGTATGTCAAGAAGGGAATTGCTAAGCGCCGAGCGTTTCAGCTGCGTGTCCATATCGATGGTCTCGGACCTGTCGGAGCAAGGCCCCGGGCAAGGACATATCTCGACATCCGCCACTCCGGAGTCTCTATTCTCTGCGCCGCCTCTGGCGCTTCTGCTGCTCTTCTGTCGTTCCAGTTCCGTCTCAATCCGTAAGGTCTCCATCTCGTCCATCTCGCTGATGGATTCCCTGAGGTCTTCCACAAACTTGCATCTGTCGTGCTCGTTCCTTGCGTTGAACGTGACCAACACTTTGCCGTCTACGCGTTGCGAGAGTCTAATCCCATACGGATAATCTGGCGCAACAAACGGAATCGGATTGATATCGAAGCAGAAGCACAGAAGAGGTTTCAAACGATAAATAATATTTCGTTCCAGCGACAACGATTCTTTACCCTCTGCAACTGTGATTCCAAAGAGAATAAGAAACTTAACAATGCATTAAATTGGACGTGAAACTCACGAGGAACTTCAAACAGCGTAACGACCATTCCGCAAAGGGGGAAGCTCTGTCTGAAGGTGTAGGTGACGCTATTCTTCTTTTTGCTCAAGATTTTCGTGACGACGAGGAGGTCGTTAAACAGGAACACCTCCCTCTGGTGCACGCCGGGCCTCTCTTTCTTGTGAATGTCGGGAATTTCGTAGAGCCTACAGTAACAAACTAATCTCCTATGCGGCAAGGCCATGTTGGGCTTCTTCCCAACGATGGTCGCTTGGACTTTCATTACTTGGGACACGTGGTCCGAGCCGGGTTTGAACTCGTTCTCCTTCACTCTCTCGTAAATGCCGACCAAGATATCCTTGTCGATGTCTCCGCAGTCGTCGATGCCCCTGAGATTCTTCACGAAATCTTCCAGCCTCATTCTACGTTCAGGCTTCAAGTTAGGCGTGTGCAGGTCGGTGTTCAACATGATGATGGCGAACGCTAGGACGAAGACCGTGTCCGGTGACCGCAGTCTGGTCACCACGTCGTGGTTACATTGACAGTACCGCTGACTGAACACTTCCATCAGTCGCTCTATTTTCTGGGCCTCGCCCGGCATCCTGAAGTACGCTTGGAACTTCCTCAAGGCCACGTCCACTTGCATGCCAGAGAGGTCCAGTTCTTGGGAGAAGCATCTGTGGGCAATCAAGGAAGACAGTGGAAAATAAATGGGAATAAACGTTCGATCGGACGTTGCGGTTAAAGGGAGGCAGAAGGTACTCACTCTAGCACAGCCATGTTGAAGGTGTTCTGCAGGTTTCCTAGGTACTCTCCGATCATCTGCTTGGACAATCCCTTTCTGCTGATCAAGAATCTAGCGACACCCTGAGGACTGTTCTCTAAGAAGCCTCTCCTGATCAGGTAACTGATTCCCCTCTCCGGTTTCTTGTTGAACAGATTTAGGCCGACTCTGTACTGACGTTTCCTAACCGTTTCGGAGACCTTGTAGCTGGTCTGGGGCATCGTTTCGGCATGGTCCATCAGCGGCAGCTGGTAACTCGAGCTGGCGTGCGAATGACCGAGGTCCTTCACGCTGTTTATCATGGCGGTCGAGTCTGTCGCGTGGCCGGCGCAGTCCTGGTGTTCCGGGGAACTCGACTGCAACGCGACATTCGAATTTACAATGAAATCTCTGCACAAGCGAAACGCCGCAGCGGTAAAACTGGAATCGCGATTCGGATAACCGTCGAATCGCCGGTAGGAAAGCCTTTTCGAGGACGAAGAAAGGAAGAAAGCGGCACTCACTATTCCTTTGTGTTTCCAAACAGGCGATCCTCTTTGGGCATCGCCCTCGGAGCTCTCGCAATTAGTGGAATCGCTGCCGGAGCTCTGGACCGAGCTCAGGCTGCCGTTCTCGACGCTTTTGCTGAGCCCGTTGTGGCGAGGCTCCATGGACCTGGAGGTGATGGAAGACGTCCTCTTCGGTACTTCCGGCGGCACCTTCTTCGCGGAACCCCTTGACCTGCCGGTGGAGCCCAGGTGAGAGGAAGAGCTCCAGTTCTGAGGCACTGTGTTTTGGAGATTGTGAGGCGTCGACGGGGACGTGCAAGGCGTTCGCAGCAGGTCCCGCGGAGGCGTCTCCTGCCTGAGGCCGCAGAGCGCTTCCTGTGAACGACGGAAACGAGCGTCTCTTACTTTCACAAGTCTCTTTCGTAGTACTGTAAATAATCTATTATCCAATGCGTTCATGGTTCAACTAACCAGATTGCACATTGGTCGAAATAGAAATTAGAAAGAACAGAAGAGTTCGAAATAGAAAGAGTGAACGAAACGGAAAAGCGAAGCGTCTATAACGAGGCAGCCAAAGTTCACCGTCGAAAGGTCATTGCCAATCACCTGTGGGTTGTAGTAGTGGATGCTGGATCCGCTTTCCTGAGAGCTGGACTCCCAGCAGGGGCTCGGTGGTAGCTGTTGATGTCTGCTGCAGGGGCTGGGCGCCAGGGACGGCGTGTGCCTGCCGGTCTGATGGATATTATGGTTCGCGTGTTGATGGCCGGCGATTTGCACCTCGCACCTGCCGCTCTGGCTTCTGGGTATCGGCGACTGCGAGTTCTCGACGTGCCTCCTCTCTCTCAGCGACATGCTTCGGATCGGCATCGGCCTGTTCGCCGTCTGCGGCTGCTGGATGTAGATCTGGTTGTGGTAGACCATCCTCTCGTGCTCGTTCGCCGCCGAGCAGCCGCGGTCCGCGGTCTCCTGTAGCTTCCTGCTCAGCCTCTTCTCCGCCTTGGCCATCGCGGTGATCGCCGCGAACTTCTTCAGCAGCGTGTACCTGCGGAACGCCCGCTGGATCGTCAACGCGGCGTTCCTCGCCTTCACGCCGCCATACTTGCGCTCCAGCATCTCGATCTGCTTGTCCAGCAGGTCCTGCGACAGCTCGTACCTGCGGGATTCGGTCAGGAAATCATTCTATGGAAACTTGCGAAACTTCCGGGGCAAGTTAAACGACGTACAAGGACGTACAATGACGAGTGAGACTCGCGATAGATTTCTAGACTAATTTAACAAAGCAATTATTCTATTATCAATGTATCATCTTCAAATGAAATCTCCACAGTAGAATTGCCAATTTCGTTGCATTCCTTCGGATTAACGGTAAAATATTACGCGAGCTTAGCAGCGGAAGTAGATGGTACGCCAAGGGGTTGACGCGTAAATTCTACCGCCTCGGATTAGCGAAAGGGAGAATCAACGGGGAATCTTACGCGGTCTGCAGCCGGCATCTCTTGAGCACGTCACCGTTCCGGACTGGTCCTTTCTTGAGGTGGTTCTGCTGATAGGCCGGTTGCGGCTGGCCGCCGTAGCCTTGCACCATGGTGCCGTAGCTTTGGGGTTGGCTGTAGCCCGCGTGCGAGTAGACTCGCACGCTCGGCGAGGGCGTGTACGGGCCGTGCGCGTAGCTCTGGTTCTGAACGTACGACTGGCCCGTGATGTAGGACGTCGTGAGGGACGTTTGGCTGCCGGACGAGTACACGCCGTGCATGCCGACGCTGTGCACCTGGCCCGCGTTCGAGCTGTGCTGCGACGGCCTCTCCATCTTCGACGGGAAACTGGGGACAAACATTCCGAGACTTATTAGTTGAAACTCGCGCCGCGACGCCAGACCGCTCCGGTTTCACGCTGGAACTGTCTCTGCGGTACACCGACACGAGACGATTCGGATCACTTTCTGCTCGACAGACTACACCGTGTACAAAGAAAACTACCCGAACGTTAATCGCGCGAAAGAGAAAGGAATTTTTTCGCTGTCCTCTCGCGAGTGAGAAGGCAAACGTTAGAAATGTAAACTGGATCTACACTTCGATCCGATTCGCCTCGAGTACAGAGTTATTCGGACAAATTAGGGGAGAACCGAACACATTCGAGGAATCCCGCGCGACTTTCGCGATAACGATGTGGGGCAGTAAAAAGCTAACGTTCGCCGTGAATTCTCCAGCCGGCAATCGTTCCCCGAGGCCGCACGCGTGTCGAGCGACTCCTCCGAGGGAGGCGTCCTCCGGATTTGGCGATTTCGCGCGCGGTTATCTCGACGAATCGATTATTCGTTTTCGTGCGTCCGAGGATCGTGTCCGAGTTAATTAGGCTCCGCTCCTTTCGATTTCGAAGCTGAGACTTCGCTCGGAATGCTTAGAAGCGGATCGCGGCACTCGGACAGATTCAGCCTCGATCGCTGGAGGAATTAATATTCTTTTGGCGTCTAGGATGACGGTTGTATCCCTGGAATAACACAGTCGACGCCGAGTTTACTGTATTCGATTTATTCCATTATTCCTAGGAAAGTTCACGCTTTGAGTTTAGATCTTGGAGATTGGAAGGTTCAGAATATTTATTGACCCTTTGCACTCGGAGGGTGACTCAGTCACCGCTTCGTTTGACGCATAGAACTATGAAATCTGATATTTAATGTTGAACTTTATATTGGAATAAAGTAGCTTTGTTCTTCGATGTACTCGCGATTTCCATTCGAGTCAGTTTCAAAGAATATCGTCTTTGTCTTGTGGAAAAATGTGAAATATTCCGAGTGCAAACGGTTGAATAACGTTTATAAAATTCGATATCCGTGAAATCGACGCGTTCCGTGAATCTAGCGTGAAAAAACCGAAGGAGACGCAAACCTTGCGGCGCGCTCGTCTCCTTTTTCGGTCTATTCCAGCGCGGCGGGCCGCCCGCTTTATTCAATATCCGGTCCGCGCGCGATTGCCAAACGTGATTTCCGGAGATTTCACTTATCGCTGCAGATAGGCCTACGATTTCCACCGAAATGCGTTTCCTGACCTGCAAATTCACTGGAACGTTCGCTCGGCGACGACCCAACTTGTTAAATAAATTGAATCCTCTCTCTATTATTCCCCGTTTCTTGCCGTCGTTTCTCATTGTCGACTGTAATAGTTAAGAAAAAGCTAGTTTCTTTCTCAACCGTACTAGACCTCACTCGTCGACGTATTTCGATCGAAGGTTTCGTACATTTCAAAGAATCTTCATCCGTGAAGGGTCAATTTACGTACTTACGAGTGCAAAGGGTCAATCGACGCCAGCGCGAGCCTATTCGTGTAATTAAACCATATCACAGGTGTAACGCCAGCGCACCGATTGGGAATATCGTCTGGAATAAAGGAAAATCGTCGAGAGGAGGATTTTTTCGAAAGACAGCCTGAGGTCGCGATCACGCGCGAGAGACGTGATCCCGAGGCGGCTGGTTCAAGATACCGGTTCGCGTTATCGTTTATTATTCGAATATTCCGTTTCCTTCCTTTGTTCCCGTCTTCCTTTCCCCTTATAGTTTTCGCGCTAACGATCGGGGAGAGATCAACGAACGATTTATCCTTCTGTAGAGCTCGCGCGCTCCGAGGACCGTTCGACATTTCCGAATGTCGCCCACGAGCGCCGCCGAGCGAGCAAACACCTCCGACGAACGTGCCGCGGTCGTTTATTTAGTCGATTAAACGGCTTTATTTCGTATGCGAATAAATTACACGGGTCTCCGCGATAAAGCGGACCGACTGGTCGAAGGACTCGATTCCCGAAAATAAATGGACAAAGATCGGATCGCGGCCGTCGAGACGCGCGTTCGTCGGACGAAAAATGTCGCGCGGCGAACACGTCGATCCGTCGTCTCGGTTTTCGAGGGAAAACCGTGGGTGTCCTAGCTGCCGTATTGACCAACGCTCCGACACCCAGCTGTCGACGATTACCATTCGAGAAACGGTGCCACGCCGGTGAATCACGCGATGATGATTCATCGCGCGAAACTCACCCCCGATGGAGCACCCGTCGCGCTACGTACCCCGTGAGAAACCCGTGGACGCACACCACCATGTCGATCCTCTGTCGTCGCTCGCTCCGTCGATCGGCACACCGGAAAATCACCAGCAGACCACCGAAATGACACGAGAAACCATGTCGCGAGTGACGATTCGGAGATTCACAGGGGAATCGCTTCAAGACGATTGCGAAGGTCGGTGGCGGATCGAGATATCTCGTCGCTTGAAAACGATCGACAGGCAACAGTGCACACCCGAGAATCGTTACACCGAAACGTTAGTAATCGTAACGTCGATTTTTGCTACCAGACACCGAACGTTGCGCGAATCGCTCAAGATTCTCGCGGCGTTAAGGGCGCGACGCGAGCTGCTCGAGGGACCGCGCGATTCTGACGATCGAGGAGCCGGCCGATCGAAAGGAGAGGATCTCGAGCAGCTGGCAGTCGGCGGGCGCATTCTTCGTCCTCGGGCGAGGATCGGAAATCAGTGAACAACACTGTGCAGGGAAGAGGGGTGAGAGAGCACGTGCACCTCTCTGCACAACTGCACAACTGCACACCGGCCTCGACAGTGGTGAGCAACCTTCCGTATGCCAGTCGATTTTAACCTCCTCCAGCTCGCCCCGCCGACCACTTCGCCACTTCGCCCCTTTGCCTGTTAATCGCGTGCACATCGGTGCAGTGATTTTAAAGGCAAACCCTGTTCGCCCGCCACGAGAGTCTATGCGGTGTTATTTACCGAGTCCATCGTGGCGAAGGATTCTCCTTCTCGATGAACCGTCTTTGTCGTGTATTCTCCGAGGGAACTTTTGGCGAATTAGATGGCGTAACGTGATATCGGTAATGACAGAGACATAGAGAATGATCAGCTATTCATTACAGTGCCACAATGGTTGCTAACGCCGAGCGTTCCGACTCCCTCTAATTTCCATGAATCACCGATCGTTTAAGCGTTCGTAATCGAAAAGGCGATTAACACTTCGGCCACGTCACCCGGATTAGTGACACCATTCTTTGCATAAACATTCATTTTCTCCTAACGTATCGAAACCAAATTTCGTTGGACATACGATATGTAAGAAAGACGGTGGAGCGATCATTACGAAGAATCTCGATCGCTTAGTTTCCGCTTTACCGAGAGGTCCGTTTCGACTGCACGGGAGTTTCACGAGCGTTTACTCGGCAGTCACACTGTTAATAGACTGCCGGTAGATTTAATCGGATCACAGCGCGGCCTTGCATATTGCAATCGGTTTTAAGCGGCCCGAAAGCGGCGGTCATCAGCGAACACGGTGTTAATGCGATCCCCGAAACGGGCTGGGCGACGTCGCTCAATGTTGGACGCGCCCCACGGGCCGCGTTACGGGGGTTGTCACCGCGAAATCACCGAGGACCTGCATCGAGTTTCGCGCGAGTGTCAGCAGGCACGCGGCGAACGAGGACAACCAGGACGACGATACGGCGGCCGTGACACTCAACTTTCCGCGCCTTATGCAACGCTCATCAATTAAGCGCGTTGCGCAAGGAGGCGAGATGCGCCGCGGATAAAGCGAACGCGTGCGTTTACGGGCCGAGACAACGACCGGGAAAACTTTGGGAAGAGTCCGAGGATCGCGAATTTCAGGGAACAAAGTGCAACGCTAGGAAGAAATCGAGAAAAATCGTCGGTTGAGTCGATTGGTAGTTTCAATGGTAATTCAACCCTTCGACTCTTGCGTTACCAAGGTGTCGTAAACGATAACATTAACCCTTTGCGGTCCGAAGTGCTCTTGTTTCTCACTTTGAGGTTCACGTCGACGTTAGTTCATTCGATTACAGCTTAATACGACGCTCTATTTATTTATTCAAGAATATTTGGGAGTCATCGAAATGTTACCTTTAAATGCTACAATTGTGATACTACAAATATTCGATATTCTTCATAACGATTGCTCTACTATCTTTCTAGTATCTGACATCTAACAGAATTCAGTTTGTTCGTTTCATCACCGAGAAAAGTAATGTTTAAGTTTATGTGAATCATGGTGTCACCCGAATTCGGGTGACATGGCAGCCAAAGTGTTAAATGGTACGATTGTGATACTACGAATAAATATAGAAAAAATTGTTAAAATAGGTAGAGGTTGCAATAAAATAGACTGTCGAGTCTGACTCGCTTAGGACTGCTAAGGGTTAATATATCGCTCGGAGTATCGATATCGGTATCGACTAATACCGCTGTCGGTGAACTAGAAAGTTCTAATTCCCGTACCTCGGACACCATCGAAAATCATTCTCGATCGGTCGTTCCATGGTCGAGCAATGGTGAACGTTCACGGACGTTTATTGTATAGTTTGTTCTATTGTTCCTGGAAAGATGCATAACCGTTCGTTGAGATCTTAGAATTCGTGATTACAATATGTAAATCGTATAATCGCGACAATGGAAATCGATTTGAGCATTTATTCGTGAATGGTGTTTATAAAATTTCCGTGAACCCGCCGTTAAAGAGGAAAGAGGGAAATTCAGTTGAACATTTTCCCATGCCGCTTGCGGTAACTTTCATCGAAACGACTCGGCGTTTCCCATGGGCGAACAGCCGGCTGTATAACACTTTCGCACGATTCTTCCGATGAAACGGTCGCTGCTAAATGAAACGTAATTGCAGGAAAAAGTTGCTTCCAGCGAATGGGATTGTGTTTAAGGCGCGCTCGCGTTAACTGTACACGGGGAGAAGAGTGCGCGCGAGCCGTCGAGGAAATCGCGTCGCGATTTATCGGCTGTTTTTCCGAGAGGAAACGCCGATTTTC